AACAATCTGGGCTTCTACGGTAATCGCAGCAGGCTGGAGTAATCTCATTAAACTAGCTCAGAAATACAATTATGCAGAAGCCATACCCTGCAATAGCAGAGATCAACATGGCAAGTAAAATAATTGCACTATAAAATGCCACTTGTCACAGTCTAATGTATCGGCACGCTGTACATCAGAAGCTGAAACACCAGGCGGCAGGATTTAAATTTCATAGGCTATAGGCAAGGAGTCAGTTTAAAGTATGCCTATTCCGAGGTTGTCATTGGTAGCCTTTTCCAAATAGTTTTAGTCACCGAGCCAGAACAAGTAAATGCATTCAGAACCACTGATCTGCATAGTTGTTCCACATCAGTACCTCAGAAATTACCAAAGCATTGTACCAATCTGGCAACTAATGTCTTCAGCAACAGAGGACAGCAACGGCAGCTGCCAATTTATCTTAGTACAGGCTTCCCTTAAGTTGGTGACTAAATGAGAACTTGGACAGAAATATTTTGTGAAGGCTATGAACAGGTTGTGTGTAAAGCATCTTTGCAGCCCCTTTTAGCACTTTGACATTCCAGCAGTCAGTCCCACCTCCTTGCTGAAACTGACAGGTTGGTTGGCCTCATTTATCACCTAAAACCAGGTGTCTTAACTCCAACCACTACATTCTGAAAGCTTGAATGTGCTTGGTGTCTGTGGGCTCGAATCACAAATATTTATCTAGCTATTTTGATCAAAGAAAATTGCCAATTTCTAAAGATTTGCTATTAAAATTAGTCATATTTATATGACAGGAGGAACTGCATTTGGCAAATATTCATAATGCCTATAGAAGAAATACATTTTCTATATAGGCTGCCTCCATTGTTAAAAAATGAACAACTAGATTCACCATGAAAACCTAGCTTCAGTGAGAGAGCAAGAAGAAATGCAGCGGGTCAAAGACTAATCCCTCTAAATTTGTAATCAAGAATATAAAATCCCACCTTTTCATGCAGGAGTATTTACCCAATGATTTTCCAGTACCTAGGGGCCTGGCATGGGGAATTCAATAGAAGAGACACACATTAATTCAACCTGCTCTATCAAAAGGATTTTGCAGTTATAATACAGAAACATGCTTTATAGCCAATGTAAAATTGGTGAAAATGCATAGCAATGATTGAATATTAAATATTTCCATGCTGAAGGGCTCCCACAATCAGTGAAACAACTACTTTCGCAGCCATGTGGGTACAGCATCCAACCTCCCACCCCCACCATTAGCCTAGTCTACTGTTCTTTTGGCAAGAGAAGATGAAAATAAAATACTTTTGGACAAAAGCAAACTTATGGCCCTAATTTGTTTACAAACTACCCTTAAGAAATTACACCAGAAACTAGCTGGAGAACCTGAACTTCCCATCAAAAATTCCGCATTAACTTAGCAGTTTGGAGTACAGGGATCCTCCACGCTTCCTTGCCTTCAATGGTACCCAAGTGACTGATTGGAAGGCCTGGGTGTGATATGCACAAGGTGGGCGCTTTCAAAGTTGGCACACTGGAGCCTTTGAGAAACCGACATTTGAGAGTGCCTGCTCTTGTGACATAAGATTAGTTTATCCAGCTTATGGCCATGACAGGTTCGCTTATAAAAGAGAAAAACAGAGGCTCCTAGTACAGAGCTCTCATGAAAATTATAGTAAACTGGCTGTCATGCTGACCGGCTTTCTACAGTATATGACCTCTAAGTGAAGCGCTAGGGTTTTAAAAGTCAGTGAACTCTGACTTTCAAAAGCTACACACTTATTTCAAGTCAATGGCTAAGAAAACATTAAAAGTCAATGGGTCAGCATAAATGCCAGACAACATGGCATTTTTAGAACAGTGTGCTACAGCAGTCCCTTTTATGACCGTTTTTATGTTAGGTAAGAAGCACAAAGAGCAATAATTATATACAAACAGCAGTCACCTACAGCATATCAAATGAAATCTTCAATTGTTTTACTGCAGCCATGACAATGAAAGATAACTACTCTGTTTTCTGTAGGTTACTTTTCTAGCTAGAAACACCTGGTTGCTTCAAGCCTAATTGTATGTGCGTACAGCTGGGCTGCCCACAACCTATTGTTAATAACCTGAAGAATAAAGAATATTCTTAAGCCGTTTGTCTTGAATTCCCTATGAAAGATACAAATACAAAATTTACTGTTTGTCCTTGACTGGTACAATGACATTTGCTCATAATCGTTCAGTTGCAGCTAAAATATCAGAGTGATTGTTTTGAAAAAAAATGATAACTTGTTCTACCTGATGAAGGGGATCCTGCGAGACCCCGAAATTTTTCATTGAGTATCACGTTATGCTGCTCATATGTCAATAAACAGACGTAATTGACCTGCTATTGGAGTGCCGGTGTCTATATATTTTGTTTGAGACTACCAAACAAGACATCTGAAGCAATGGTCATATGTCAGGACCGCTTGAAGACAAACATCCTTCTGTACAAATATACAAATTCTTCAATCAACTGCATGCTTGGGAAGCACAGAAACTATCGATATAAAAATACTATGATCAAGGCTGTCTGCATCTAAGTGTTAAATATGCAAAACAAATGGAAAGAATGGAGGCTGTTAAAACCAAATCAGTTCATAAGGGGTAAAATCTTTTCAGCCATATACAAGTCAATTCTTAAGCCAAGGATGTGCTTCAATGGAGGACTTGCTCCGATCTCCATAGTCATACAAAAGTTCTTCCCCTGCGCTTATGTCCCTTGATGCAACCAATATGAGGTGAGGCAAGTTCTTGATATTGTGTAGTTTGGTGTGGCAATTTCCGCTCTTACTGTGATTTATAAGCCTTCCTAAACGGTTCGTTTCTTTTGTTGCATCAACACTGAAATAGACCAAGACATGTATGCAGTGAACAATATGAAAACAACAACAACACACACACATCAATGGCATCTGCTTAATAAAAAGGCAAAACTTTTTTCAAGTCCCAAGTTGTAATATGGCCACAGTGCACTACACATTGCTACAATGTTCGTTCCGAGTACAGTAGTAAAACCAAGATTGCCGATAGCCGACATAGATGGCACATAATACTGCTACAGAGCTGTCAGCCCATGGCACCCCTGCTGCTAGGGCCCTGTTGAGCATAGGCGTCACTGGCTACTAGGGTGCTCTCCGCTCTATGGCATCCTTGGTTGCAAGGGCTCTGTCAGCCAACAACATTGCAACCAAAGACAATGTGCAGCGGACAAAGTCATAGGAACCAATGTTTCTGTGCGGTCCATAGGCTAAACTTGCAGTGGAGATGGAGTGACAACGATATGGACAATCTAGTCACCCCCCACCGTATGACAAATTCTTATGGAGTCTGCATGTGCAAAATGTGCATGCAGCAGAACGGAATTGTCTCCCAGTGCTGCCTTGCGCCTATAGTGTGACTGCGGCTCCGCAGGGATGAGCAGATGCAGATAGAACAGACTTGCATATTTCTGCTAGCTGTATGCAAGATTAGTTTTCACTATATTTAAAAGTAATACAAAAACTGCATTGAAATTAATAATAAAAAAAAGTAATTTTCTCAATCTTGCCATGTGCATAAGTATAGATACCCACCCTCAAAACCAACATGAAATAATCCAAGGCCTGTTTAAAGGTCATTAGAACTCTGCAAAAAGTGGAGAAAGTGCTGGAAGCTCCAGGGAGTGCTGCCGGCTTCTTGATTCCATGGTTGTCAGTTTTAATGTATATACAAGTTTCTGTTAAGGAAGTACCGTATTTTTTGATCCATAAGACGCACATTTTTCCTCCTAAAAAGGCGGGCAAAAATGTCTGTGCGTCTTATGGAGCAAATGTGCGAGAGCATTCCTATCGCCCGACACATGCAGTTTTGGGGGCCGGGCGAGTAGTTTTTTTTGTACATTTAGCCCTGCTCCTGACAAGCAGAGCTAAATGTATAGTGTTGGAGTCGCCGCTCGTTTTCATACAAGTGATATGAAAGGAGCAGCAGCGATCCTGTCCGGATGCCTGTCAGGACGGAGAGCGGAGTACAACACTCAGCGATCAGAACTGTGCCAGTCTGTGTTCCCTGCAATCCCTGCTGCTCCTCCCCGCTTGTGTTGGCAGAGGTAGCGGAGATCTCCCAGCTTCTGTTGGGAAAGGGACACGGACCGGCGCCCGACGAGGAGGAGAGAAGCTGTCAGGATGGCGAGTGGGACAGTGCACGGAGGAGACAGCTGTTAGCTGTCACAGGAGGCCAAGCTCGCCTCCCACACTGCCCCACAAGGTCTCCTGTGACAGGCGGAGCAGTCAGGATGGAGAACGGAATACAAACACTCCGCAATCAGTACTGGTCACTGACTGTTTGCAAATAACCGACATAGAAAGCTTACTGTGTCCTCAGTTATGAATGAACAGGAAGTGTTCTACATCACTTCCTGTTTATTCATGGATTGTGGCCATAGTATCAGTATCTCCTCAGTTTAAGAATGGAAAGGAGCACTTAGTATAGAGGCTCTGTTCATTCATAACCGGGGCTGCAAAAAAAAAAAAAAAAAAAAAAGAAAATT